TGGAACCTTGTAGTACAATTTCATAAAGATCCATACACTTACACACAAGTTATTGTCATGAAACTAGAAAAATGCTTGTTTTTTGCCCCTTTTTTGTCCCTTATTCCTAAAATTTTGAGGCAATTACCCCACAATCAATCCCAGCATTTCCTTTGTGATATGGAACCTTGTGGTACAATGTTAGAGAGGTCCATACACTAACACACAAGTGATGTATGGAAGTTACAAAAATGCTTATTTTTGGCCCCTAATTCCTTAACTGTTGGTACCATAACCCCCAATATCAATCCCAACCTTCCTTTTGGGGTATTGAACCTTATGGTAAAATTTCATAGAGATCCATTCACTTAAACTAAAGTTAGAGTGCGAAAACTAATGTGTCTTCGGACGACGACGCCGACGCCAACGTCATACCAATATACGACCGCAAAATTTTTTTGCGGTCTTATAAAAATTATGTAAGCTAAAAACAAACTCAATAAGGAAATCATTTTATACCCTTATGAGCCAAAAGTCAGCTGGTGATCTGCAGGCATTACAAAAAAAAGTACAAATTAAATGAAATTTTTGTTGTCCAAGAGCATTTATACTGCCTAAAGTGGGTCAAGCAGAATGAAACACAAACTCAATTTATAAGTCATTATACACTTATGTACAAAAAATCAGCTTCAGATCTGCAGTAATTACAAAGTCCAGACGAGTACAAATTTTAGGGAAAACCAAATTCAGTTCCCAAACCTGCATTTTACAAGTGAGAATTTTGTACCAAGTCAGAACTTCTGGTTTACAAATGGGAAAACAGTAATCACTAAGTCCTTAAAAAAAACCAGAAACTTCACACATCAATAGATTTCTTTTTTCTTTTAACATTGAGTCTTTATTTATGAGAAAAAAATATTTATAATGCGAGAAAAAATAAAATGCTCCGCTGGGGCGCAGCTTGATACGACCGCAGAGGTCGAACCCTGAACAGTTGGGGCAAGTATGGACACAACATTCAAGCTTGATACAGCACTGAATTTGGATTGTAATTAAATATTTGACACAGCATAGGTTTCTCACACAGAATGAAAGTAGTCTAAGAACTTAAAATTTTTTAATTTACCTATTCAAACCATATCATTATTATTTGCTTTTATATATAAATCAGAAATAACCAATTTAAAATGGGAAATTTTAAAGAAAAAAAAGGAAAAAAAAATCCCCCCCCCCCCAAATTTTTTGAAACCCCCTTATGATTCATCACCCCCAAACTCAATCCCAGCCTTCCCTTTGTGGTATGGTACCTTGCAGTACAATTTCAGAGAGATCCATACACTTGAACACAAATTATTGTCTGGAAACTAGAAAAATGCTTGGGTTTTTTGCACCTTTTTGGCCCCAAATTCCTAAAAGTTTAGGGCAATTACCCCCAAACTCAATTCCAGCTTTCCCTTTGTGATATGGAACCTTGCAGTACAATGTCATAAAGATCCATACACTTACACACAAGTTATTGTCATGAAACTAGAAAAATGCTTGTTTTTTTGCCCCTTTATGGCCCCTAATTCCTAACATTTTGAGACAATTACCCCCAAAAACAATCCCAGCCTTCCCTTTGTGGTATGGTACCTTGCAGTACAATTTCAGAGAGATCCATACACTTGAACACAAGTTATTGTCTGGAAACTAGAAAAATGCTTATTTTTGGCCCCTTATTCCTAAACGTTTTGGGCAAGTACCCCCAAACTCAATTCCAGCTTTCCCTTTGTGATATGGAACCTTGAAGTACAATTTCATAAATATCCATACACTTACACACAAGTTATTGTCATGAAACTAGAAAAATGCTTGTTTTTTGCCCCCTAATTCCCAAAATTTGGAGGCAATTACCCCCAAAATCAATCCCAGCATTCAAACCCTCAATCAGCATCATTTAACAGTAATATCTAAAAATGGAAATTACATAATAAAGGTATTAAAATAGAAAATGACATCATAGTCATGGCTAAAAATAAACAAAATCCTTAATCAGCAACATTTTACAGTAATATCTAAAAATAAAATTCCTTTGTAACCATAAAAGCCCATTTAAATACATCATGACAGATATTAAAATAGAAAATGACATCATAGTCATGGCTAAACATAGCAAAAACCTTAATCAGCATCATTTAACAGTAATATCTAAAAATAAAAATTTCTTTGCAACCATAAAAGTAAAATAGAAAATGACATCATAATCATAGCTAAAAATAAACAAAAAATTTTTTTATTACCAAATTTTAAATGGAGTTTAAACCCCATTTAAACACATCATAAAAGTATTAAATAATTCAACTACATCATAAGGCTATAAAAATAGAAAATGACTTCATAGTCAAGGCTAAAGGTAAACAAAAAACCTTCATCAGCAAAATTTTATATTGGCAAATTTCCAATGAAGTTTATTATACTAAAATTGTTGGCAAATTTCCAATGCATTTATTAACAATAAAGTTATTGGCAAATTTCCAATTTACATAATTTAAAAGCAGTGTAAGTGAGATATTTAAATGAGTTTGAATTACCAACCTTACACTGCTTTTAAATAATGTTTTGTACTTATTTGTCTATTAACCTGGAAACCCTTGTTTTTTCACCTTTTTTTCCCTTATTATTTAAAGGTTTGAGCCATAACCCTACCCCAAAGCCAATTCTTAAATTCCAATGTAACCTAAATTTACAATATACATAACTTCAATTTAAGTTTTTGATAAAATCAAACCACATCATTATTATTTGCTTTTATATCTAAATCAGAAATAATTAACCAACTTTAAGTGGAAAATTTTCACACATCACGCCCCCCCAAACTCAATCCCAGCCTTCAGTTTGTGGTATGGTACCTTGCAGTACAATTTCACAGAGATCCAATTACTTAAACACAATTAATTGTTGGAAACTTAAAAAAAATGCTTATTTTTAACCCCTTTTTTAGCCCCTTATTCCTAAACATTTGAGCAATTATCCCCCAAACTCAATTCCAACTTTCTCTTTGTGATCAGAATTAACCAACTTAAAATGGAAAATTTTAAAGAAAAAAAAAAGGAAAAAAATCCCCCCTCCCCAAAATTTTTTGACCCACTTCCCTTTGTGGTATGGTACCTTTAAGTACAATTTCAGAGAAATCCATACACTTGAACACAAGTTAATGTCTGGAAACTAAAAAAATGCTTATTTTTGCCCCCTTTTTTGGCCACTTATTAATAAATGTTTTGGGCAAACATTTTACAATAATATTTAAAACTGAAATTAATTTGTAACCTTAAAATTAAATAGAAAATGACATCATAGTCATAGCTAAAAATAAACAAACTATTGGTAAATTTCCAATGGAGTTTATTATATTAAAACAATAAATTTGCAACCATAAAAGCGCATTAAAATACATCATAAAAGTATTAAAAAAAATTTAACTACATCATAAGGCTATAAAAATAGAAAATGACATCATAGTCAGACTAAAGGTAAACAAAAAACCTTCATCAGCAAAATTTTATATTAGCAAATTTCCAATGAAGTTTATTATACTAAAATAATTGGCAAATTTCCAATTTACATAATTCAAACATAGTGCAGGTGAGATATTTAAATGAGTTTGAATTACCAACCTTACACTGCTTTTAAATAATGTTCTTTACTCAATTATTTGTCTATTAAAATGGAAACCCTAGTTTTTTAACCTTTTTTCCCCTTATTCCTTAAACGAAAAAAAATAATTACCCCTTTTTTGACCCCCCCCCCCCCCTATGATTCATCACCCCCCCCTTCCCCCCCAAACCAAGCTCAATAACAGCCTTGCCTTTGTGGTATGGTACCTTGTAATACAATTTTAGAGAGATCCATACACTTGAACACAAGTTATTGTCTAGAAAACTAAAAAATGCTTATTTTTCACCCCTTTTTAGGCCCCTTATTACTAAACGTTTTGGGCAATTACCACAAAACTCAATTCCAGCTTTCCCTTTGCGAAATGGAACCTTGTAGTAAAATTTCAGAAAGATTCATACACTTACACACAAGTTATTGTCATGAAACTAGAAAAATGCTTGTTTTTTGCCCCCTTTTGGCCCCTTATTCCTAAAATTTCGAGGAAATTAACCCCAAAATCAATCCCATCATCGACCCTTTGTGATATGGAATCTTGTAGTACAATGTCAAAGAGATCCATACAATAACACACAAGTTATGTCTGGAAGTTACAAAAATGCTTATTTTCGGCCCCTTTTTGGCCCCTAATTATTTAACTGTTGGTACCATAACCCCCAAAATCAATCCCCACCTTCCTATTGTGGTATTGAACCTTATGGTAAAATTTCATAGAGATCCATTCACTTAAACTAAAGTTAGAGTGCGAAAACCATTGTGTATTCGGACGACGACGCCGGACGACGACGACGACGACGACGACGACGACGACGACAACGTCATACCAATATACGACCACAAAATTTTTTTGCGGTCGTATAAAAAATTGGCAAAAGAGGTGGTGGACTAGAATATTCACCATGGAGAAACCCTGAAAGTAGCTTTCTATATTGTAAAAACACTTATCTACTGTTGAAAACCATATGTTGACCTCTAGATGAACTTAATGTGTCAATGGCTTGCTGTCCCATTGATGTATACTCTAAATCTTTCATTCATGATGGTGGTTCAAAATTCCAGGATATTGCTGAAAAAGCCTTGGTTGCTAAGATAATCAATATGATTTCATTCTGATTCAAATACTGTTCTACGCTTTGCCAACAAGATTCTGACAACCCTCCAGTCTACTTTCTGTTTGAGTGGCCTTTGGTTTCATTGTAACGATACACACTTTCGAAAATTTGAGGGCTGAAATTTCATTAGCTGATGAAATAATTTACAGAACAGAAAATAGAAAGGAGTGCTGTCAGAACCTTGTAATGGAAGCATGGACACATAATCTGTTTTACAATCAGATTGGTATGATTTTTATATGAAGGTTAAGACACAAGTTTTGTGTTAAAAAGCATTTTAATATTCATTAATTGCTTCATTTTTAAGAAGCAATGAACATTAAACATATATTAAATGAATATAATACAGATGATAAAATAAATAAATACATTACAATAAAGTATGAAAATAATTTTGCCTGTCACACTTAATACATTTCCAACACACTTTCACACAATGACTTTACAATGTCTATTTTCTGCACAGTATATCTCCCATTACTATGTGTTCTTTACAATAACATAATGATCATCAATACAAATTATGATGAACTGAGAAAATAACATTTTCTTGTTAAATATAATAATAAATCTACACAATTCCAATAATTGACTGAAGACAATACATCTTTAAATGGAAACAAACATATTTTCTTGCAACTGATCAGGGAGTTTTGAACCCCTACAGTGTGAGGTGATCAGTAAATGATGATGCTATCCAATTGACTAGACCTATCAGCAAAAGAAGCTACTAACCCAATAGAAATTTTTTTTTCAAGTCTATTTGAATTGACATATTTTCCTGTTGTCAGAGATTCTCCCTGACCTGTGTTTTTTGCAATTTTCAAATCTTTTGTATTTCACTGCAGCATCAAAATTAATTAAGACTAAAACCAATGATATTTCTCAAAATATTTGATTTTTTTTTAAAACTTTTTACGGCAATAAATTATTTTTTCACTTTGCAAATAAGTAATTTCAACTTTCTGATAGGTGTATGCAGTTTTCTTTTAATAATCAACAAAGTGCAAGTACTTATTGCAAAACCAAATTATCCAAAGATAGTATTCAAAGAGAGTGAAAATTCTTGACAATTGATGGAAATAAAATAAACAATTCAAATGATCCAACTCCTACAGTAGTAAGTAAATTTACAATTGGTAAAATAAACATGATTATAATAAATAGACAACATACCTCTAATTTACAACTTATTACAATATGTAACATGTTTTTGCATAGATATAATAAAATGCTTCGCTGGGTGCAGCTTGATACGACCGCAGAGGTCGAACCCTGAACAGTTGGGGCAAGTATGGACACAACAGTTAAGCTTGATACAGCTCTGAATTTGGATTGTGATTAAATATTTGACACAGCATAGATTTCTGACACAGAAAGAATGTGGTCTAAGAACTTGATTTTTTTTAATTTACCTATTATGGTCCAATGTCCAAAATCAAAATACCCTTTTGACCTCAATATGAACCAATTTGAAAGTCGGGCCCACAAATAAAAAATCTAAATACATGGTTAGATTCAGCATATCAAAGAACCCCATATATTCAATTTTTGTTGAAATAAAAAAAAGTTTAATTTTGGACCCCAACTTGGACCAACTTGAAAACTGGGCCCATAATCAAAAATCTAAACATATGTTTAGATTCAGCATATCAAAGAACCCCAAGAATTCAATTTTTGTTAAAATCAAACTAAGATTAATTTTGGACCCTTTGGACCTTAATGTAGACCAATTTAAAAAACGGGACCCAAAATTAAAAATCTAAATACACGGTTAGATTTGGCATATCAAAGTACCCCAATAATTCAATTTTTGATGAAATCAAACAAAGTGTAATTTTGGACCCTTTTGACCTCAATTTGAGCCAATTTGATAGCGGGCCCACAAATAAAAAATCTAAATACATGGTTAGATTCAGCATATCAAAGAACCCCATATATTCAATTTTTGTTGAAATCAAACAATGTTTAATTTTGGACCCCAATTTGGACCAACTTGAAAACTGGGCCAAAAATCTAAAATCTAAATACATGTTTAGATTCAGCATATCAAAGAACCCCATATATTCAATTTTTGTTGAAATCAAACAATGTTTAATTTTGGACCCCAACTTGGACCAACTTGAAAACTGGGCCCATAATCAAAAATCTAAACACATGTTTAGATTCAGCATATCAAAGAACCCCAAGAATTCAATTTTTGTTAAAATCAAACTAAGTTTAATTTTGGACCCAAAATCAATCCCCAGCTTCCTTTTGTGGTATTGAACCTTATGGTAAAATTTCAAAGAGATCCATTCACTTAAACTAAAGTTAGAGTGTGAAAACCAATGTGTCTTCGGACAACGACAACGTCATACCAATATACGACCGCAAAATTTTTTTGCGGTCGTATAAAAATACTGCTTCAATTAATTCTGCACCATTCTTATAAATACATATAACTTCATCTCTTCGTTTTGGCATTTGATATGTAATAACCCTTTTCAAACACTTCCAAGTACTTAACATTTAATCTCAATGAGTTTTTATTTTCACATTTGTTTTTTAGCATCTTCTTTACTCATTAAACATAGCTACAGATGAAATTGAGTGGTAGATAATATAATATAATTATTCAAATTAATTTAAAAAAAAATAATTTTGTTTTATGCCACTTGTGAAAAAATACAAAATTACAAAGTCTGTACACTAAATTGGAAGGAGTTTAATGTCTGTATTTTGGTCAGTTTTTGAATTATAGTGTCAAGTTGGAATGTAAAAATATTGTTATATTCAAATGAAGTAATAAGAAAGTGGATTTACAAATATTTTGTCAACTGTGCATAAAACACAATTTTATTAAAATGAAAACTTCAGATTTTTGACAGATTTCTTTCTTCAATGCATTTGAAAAAACAGCCCCTGTAACTGTGGGTTGACCTTCCAATTAATTCAAAGAAATAGTAACAAATTTATTTTAGTTGCATATTGTTATCAAATATGAAAATGAACCAAGCTTATAGAGACAGTCATCATAACCATGTTATATCACCACAAAACTAGAAACACAAAAAAAGCACTTTATAAAATCTTTTTTGAAAGATGTTATTTCTTACCGATCTCTGCACTTAACTAATGCTTATGGATGTACACTTTGTTTAAATGTGAAAAAATATTGTGAAAAAAAAACCAAAGATGATCATTCTAAAATGTACAATAAAATGCATTGTATGATTTAAGGTTTTAGATGTTTATTTTCTGAAGTGACATTTTGAGGAACTTACAGTTATCTCATGTAAAAAATGAATGTGGTGTATTAATTCATCACAATCCCAACAAACATTTGGCAAACCCCAAAGCAAACAGAGTTTTAATTTCTGTTCTTTTGCTTCACCTATAACTTACAATGAGGCTAATTCATAAACATTAATCTTAATAATGAATGGTAAAATCAAATATTTGTAGCCTTTTTTAAAGATATTCTTATATGGGCTAATTCTTATAAAACCAAATATGTAACAATCAAACACAAAGATAATGATTTGTAAACTTGCAAGCAATGTATGACAATTTGAGGAATATTTGAATGAGAAAATCCATTGCTCCATAGTCTACAACTTTTGCATACATGAAAACTTTACCCATGTGAGTGCATTTGTTTTCCTATATTGTTTTTTCTCACAGACTTACATGATTTCTTAGAGGATGAGCACTTACAATAAGATCATAATCATATTTCCAATGTTTCCTAACCCATTACAATAAAAAAAATATCACAGTTTTCATGACTTTTAATCTTCTGGAGGAGAGTCAAATGTCACACTTTGAAATCTTTAATGATACCTTGAGTGTCTGCTCTGTCTAATACATTACAAAGTAGTGGAGATTCAATCTGAAAATGATTGAAAAAATATTTGTTAAACAGTAAATCATACTTAATCAGCTTAAGACATGAAAGTAAAGCAAACACTTGTCACTCCAAATAAATTGTAGAAAACTGTGTAAAATTATTCACGGAGATTTCATTTTTACTATTTTGTTTCAACAGCAAAACATACATTTTATTGGAAATTCTTGAAATAAGCATTACATGTACACAGAGACTCTATTGTGTTTAAAAAACTTTAGAATATTTCACTGAGTCTATCCTGAATTATTGACAGCTACAGTAATACTCCATGCTACAAAGTAGCAGGGGTATAAAGTATTTTCTGCATAAAAACCTCAGCAAACGAAGCAATTAAAAATGTATTCTTAGTGGGATAAAATAACAAGAATGCCTAACCCTCACTTGCACTATACCCCCTCGTTCATTTATTTTTCACTATACCCTCCTCGTTCATTTATTTTTGAAACAATCACAAAGTGATACTGCAACATGTGCAATGTGCATTTCAAATATCTTATCTTTAGAAACTTCTAAAAAGAATATTCTTGCACAATTAACAATTTTTATTTTACTAACATACTGTTTTCATTAAATAATGCTCTATAGTTTGTATTTATAAATTTCTCCTTAATAATTTGTTTATCAAAGTTCAATTTAGTTTACTTACACCTAATACATATTCACAAGATTTAGGTTCCATTACTTACCCCTAATACATATTCACAAGATTTAGGTTCCATTACTTACCCCTAATACATATTCACAAGATTAAGGTTCCATTACTTACCCCTAATACATATTCACAAGATTTAGGTTCCATTACTTACCCCTAATACATATTCACAAGATTTAGGTTCCATTACTTACCCCTAATACATATTCACAAGATTTATGTTCCATTACTTACCCCTAATACATATTCACAAGATTTAGGTTCCATTAGATATATAGAGACAGAATGAGGTTGATTCTTCTTTTCTATACATCTGAAAAAAAATCAAAGGTTGAGGAATTGGTTTGGTGACTTAAGTAACTTTTTAGTCCCTTGCATTAAAAAATTAAAAAGTAATAATAATCTATCAAATAACACCTTCAGATATTTGTTCATCAGATATCAATCCTTATACTTTGTCTAAAATACTTACTTTGGGGCTTCAAACTACTTTCATTTAATGAAATACTAAGAATATATATATATTACTTTGGTTCTCAATGAGCTTCAACTTTGTACTTTATTTGGCCTTTTAACTTTTTTTATTCCAGCATCATTGATAAGTATTTTGTAGACAAAACACGTGTCTGGAGTAAAAATTTATAAGCCTGGAATCTATGATGATTTTTTTCTAATGAATAAACTACCAAAATAGCCTCATTTTTAGATCTTGTCGTTAATATCTAATTCTGTCTCTTACACCAAAAAACTATGATCAAAGATATCAATGTGGGTAAATATTTTCTTGTGTAAGGCTCTGGTTTATATGCCTTTTTTTTTGTAACTTTGTTGTTGCCTCATTAAACAAAAATATATATATACTTTGACATACAATATAAGGACACTAACTTTAATTTGACTTCTACTATTCTATCTTTTCCTGTAATATCACATGTATCTCCCCCAGTGTATAACAAAGACAGCTGTCTGAAAAGATACATATACATATGAAACTAGATTTTAAATGTTTAAAGACACTGAAACAGGAAATTAATAAAAACTAAATAATTTTGAACTAGGTCATTACTTGGTCTGGACCTGCATTGCTGCATGCGATTGATTGAGGTAACATGTGTGCTGAAGCATAACTGATGATGATGATTTCCTAAATCTTCAGCAAACTGGAAGTAGCTGCACAAGAGATCTTATGTAGCTAACATGCTACAACTCAAAACTATCAAACTGCAGACCAAAAAACATTCATTCCTTTTCATAGAAGCCAGAAAACTTTGATGAAAGTTTTTTTTCCTAAGATCGTTTGGACAGACAGATGGAATAAAGGACAAGTGCATTTATAACTGAGATTGTTGAATAATGGAAAAAAATGTGAATTTAATTAATGCTATTTTCAGAAATTCTGCATGCAAATAATACTGAAACAAAAGAACATATCAGTTCCAATTATTGAGATGTTTATCAAGTTAAATTTTGCAATAATAAAACATTAAAAATAAATGGGGAATGTGTCCATGGGACACCGATGATGCCCCCGCTGGCATATCATATAAAGTTATAAAGGGACATACCTGAAGAACGGTAAAAGTGACACTACCCAAATGTGTACTTGATCTGAGTTTTGTGGTAATAAGCATTGTGTATAAGTTTCATAACATTTGGTTGAGGCAAACTAAAGTTAGAGAACGGAAACGAAAAATTCCTTAATTTTTCCATTTGTAAAGGGGCATAACTCTAGAATGGCTAGGGTGACGCCTCCAAAATCCAAATTGATCTTTGTTTTTTGGTAATAAGCATTGTGTATAAGTTTCATATCATTTGGTTGAGGCAAACTAAAGTTAGAGAACGGAAACCAACTTTGGGACGTACGTACCGATGGACGGACGGACGGACAAGGGTAAAAATCTGAATTTACAGTATATTATTGATTTATGCTACTACATCTTTTTAACATGTTGACTTATACAATATGAAATGAATTCTTTAAGCAGCAATCTAACTCTGTAATGCAACCAAGAGCATGACTATACTATACACAAATCTCAAGTTGTCTTTTATGAATTAGTTACACAGGTTGACCCAAGGTCAATTGGCGTAAAAAACGTCATCAAAGAATCGGCTTTTACTGTGACTTAATAACACAAGCATTGTGACATAGGAAATTTACAGGAAAATGCACAAACTGGAAAGTCGTCTATAGACAGGTAGGGTTTATATTTGAGTTTAACACAAAAGTTAAGGATGTTGTTATTTAATTCTTTTTTTTATCAATGACTTCATTTTATGTCTGAATATAAGAATACATGTGACAAGTTGCAAGAAAATATTATAAAGTGAGTCAAGTGACAGCACTTCTGCTCTTAAAATGTTCTCACTGAAACTTCTTGTCCCAACATTTAAATCAATAACAAACTCATTATACCAAATACAATCTAATTTATAAAGGTATCAATTTCTACATAAAATAACAATCCTGCTTGTCAAACTATCTTACTTTCTACTTCCTTTTGGTTTTGGCATTTTCGACGGATTTTTTGCAATCCACTCTAAATGTTTGGCTTCATTCCAATATCCTAAGTTGATAACAATACGGCCGTCACTTCCCTGAAAGAAACAAGAATCGTATTGACAAACTTTGTCACACGAATGTTGAACTGATGGTACCCCTGAGAACCAACAGTCCACCAGCATCTAATTCATAAACCAACAAACCATTTTCTTTCTCAAGAACCATGAAAATTTGCATACATGACTTTTAAATTATATGAAATATACAGTGGATAAATATGAAACATTAAATCATATTGGGCAGATCTGTATTTTCATATTTTAAAAACTTGTAATATATATAGCATGTATATCCATTCCAAAGAAAAATATACTTACATCATGGAATTGACGAGCATGTTTATTAAAACAAAATTCATGTTTCCACCAGCCAGTGCCCTAAAAATATAAAATAAGAATTTATTTTTTTTCAAATTATGGGCCAATGGTGGTCAAATAACATTTACAGTACAATAACATGTACATTCTTTAATGTTTGTTTTGTAAATACTAAGTTCTTGGTGAAATAGTAAACTAAAACTCACAATAGATAAGAAATGGTTCATCATTTGTGTAATTAAAAATGGTTTCTGACCTCCAATCTGTGGCCATTTGAAAATTGAAGTATTAAAAAAACTAGTCAGCAAAAACCGGTGAGAAAAAAATTATGTATTTTTCTGTCATACCAAATATCTAAGGCTTAGATTTTTTTGAAAATACTAAAGCAGATGTCATCAAGAATGGGTTTGTGTTTCAGTTTAAAGTTATTGATTTTGTGGTGATGTGTTAGATTAGTAAATAATCACAAATCCTTATGAAATAGTAGTTTATCTGTTTCTCTATTACAAGCAAGTTGTTGGTTATATTTATTCATTTTTTTATTTTTATTTTGGGGGGGGGATATTTTGTGTGCTTGTTTTGTAAATACTCACTCCCTGGAAGCAGTAGTCACCAGACAGAAACTCCCTGAGAACCTGTTTGTCTGTTGTGTCAGTTAATGTTGTATCAGGTTTTTGAGGTTGTTTAGGAGTTGATGGTGGTTTTGGTGGTTCTTCCTTCTTCATTTCTCTTTGTAGAATAAAGTTACCTTGAACCTGTTGAAACACATTATAAACGAGTCAAAATGATATGAATAAAACAAGAGGTGAGGTTTATCCAAATAAGACAGCAAGCCAATAACAATAAGCAACACATGATACATCCTTATTGTGCATATAGAAATTGCTGCAAAAAAGGGATATCTAGAAGGCATTTAATCAGAAGCAAATAAAATGGCTCTGAAGAAAATATGCCTGATGATACTCTAAGGCATAAAGGTATTGTGTCAAATATGACTGTTAAAATTCCAATAACACTGAAATGACAAACCAGAAAATTTCAAAATCAAAAGCGAGTCTATGTTAACCAATCCCAACGACAGTGTCAAATTTAAAGCAATTTGATCCAATTGCAAGCATTTTAGAGCTAGTGTATGCCATTTAAAAAATGCCTTTAATTCCCTTAACTCTGGAATGACATATAGGGATTTTTTTTTAAAATCAAACAGTGTTTTATGTTCACCAATTCAAACAAATATGTAAAGTTGTCAGTACCGTCTTTTGGTATGTATAGTGCGCACATTTATACCCTGGGTCATGTTTCTTGTAAGAGGGGTGCGCATTATACATGCCTACAAACATTTTCTTAGCCTTTTTTCAGGTCCAAACTCCCGACAAAGAAAAAAACAGGTGAAGTGAAGAGTACGGAATTTTTCGCTAATTCCTCGACTTTTATTATGTTTTACATGTTATATTTGTAATATGTATCTTATTGTACTTTATATGTCATTTTTATTCAAATAAAATACATTTTATATCTCTGTAGTTACGTTCGTTTATCGTGTAAATTTGTCCATCTGTTTGCAATCCGGAAGTTTGCCATGTCTTAATAAAGACACCATGAAGCTTTTGTTGTCGGTTAATTTAGGCTCTGTGTTTCTTGTGGTCATAACTTACTGTTTTGTATGTGTTCATCATGGAGAGTAGAAGATAAGTGTATGAAAATTGAATAAACCACGCTCGTTTTGAAAAGATAAACCGCCATTTTTTTTTTAATGTATAAGGTGATCGCCAGTCATGTGACTGAATATTGTAAGGTGATGATTTATAGTCTATGAGAAGTTTTTTTTTTTATAAATACGTTTCTACTTTTTAACTTTTAAACAGTAACAACTGTTTAAAACCGTTCAAGAAATTATGATTGAAAACATGATTATCCCATAGTTGTAACCTGAACGAATTTAATTAGGAACAAGGTGAACCTGTCATTGATTGTTTTGACATCGATTAGACCCATTGATTGAGGTGTGATAATCCGGATTAACAGCTAGAATCAACAAACAACAAATAAAAATTATGAGATTTTAACAATTTATTTCAGCACTAATTCATAACATAAAATTAAATAATACAAGATAATACAATTCTGTATTAATTACGTATTCCGTACGGAATTCACCGACATCGGTGACCATTTAAAAAACTTCCAGTTTAGACTTCCTGTTTGCCAACAAACGACAAACATTAACTTGTGTGTTATAAAAAGAAGATAACTATTAAAATTCTTTATTCAGCTACAATAAATTCTTTCCATGATATTAATCATGACTTCTCATAATTCCTTGCCGAACAAAATCACGCTCAAGCAACATTTTACCGATTTTGGAGCTGTGACTTTTCCGAAAATGTCTATGTGTAATATACGAAGAAGAAACTTTTTTTCTCAAGTTTCTTGGACCAGAAAGGGGGTGCGCACAATAAACAAATGCGCACTATGCATAACAAAAGACGGTTTACCAATCCAAGCAAACTCAAGTTATGGTACATGTGAAAAATTTACTACAATCTGACAATTAAAGTCTCATAACTCTTGAACAACAAAACAGATAATTAAAAGTCGAAATAGAGCTTCCTAATATTAATCCCAACAATAATGTTAAGTTTTGAAGAAATCAATCCAGACACACTGGAGTTAGTGCATGATATGTGAAATATTTCCTTAAATCTAAGTTTCTAACGGTTAAAGTCCCGGATTTCTGGAACAACAAAGCCACAATTGTTCAAAATCGAAAAAGGGTGCTCTCCTAATGTTGTGTTGATTAAAGCAAATTTGAGTTATTGTAAGAAGAATTGATGGACAGATGGACATTGGTATTTGATAACACGTCCCATCTTCGACAGGCAAATAAACACAAAAATTTGTAAGGGGTTCAATGGAATCCTGTGTCTCACTGCAATTGCAGCTGTCTGTGTAAAAGTGAATCCATTTATCAGTAAAATACAGAATTTAAAAAAAAAAATCAAAATTTTTCTAAAAATGCTTTTTTTTAGGTCTTGAAGTTTAGCTTCTGTCCAAGTTTCATAACAATCCATGAAGGTTTACAAATTGATTATGTCAAAAAATTCAATTCCAGACTGTAGATGTAAATGTTAATTGTAAAAAACTAAGTCCATCTATCAAAAACATACTGAAAATGAAAAAAATATATTTTCAAAAGTTTGCTTCAGACATTATCTTGTAAGCTACCACTTTGAGAATCTGACTCAGCTGTAGTGTACAAAACATGTTTATATGACTTTAACATTTTTATGCATGCAATATTTGCCATTGCTTATCAAACAGCAATCAGTTTTGAACAACAAAAGAGTACCATAAAATTACAACATTATGACATGGTAAAAAAAAAGTTTTTCCCAAAAATGCTAATTCTCATACACCTGGCTCCTGGGAAATGTAACCTAACATGACATTTTATTTAATGACTCTGCCGCAGCGTAATATATGTCCACAAACCTGATGATCATACTGTGGTAATGGCTGTTTTTCCCAATCTGTCAGGGTCTCTGGTTTTGTGGGTGAACCATCCATAGCAAGACAGGATATTGTAGACACTGGAGGCGTTTTTGGTCTGAAATGTATACCTTAATTTTACAATGTAAACCATATATATGTTCTCAAGTTGTGGTCAAAAATTTATAACAGTTGTATTTTTGTCAAATTTCATGTATGAAGACTGCATATGAGATAGTTAATCATTTTTACCCTACTGATATCAAATGTTAATAATAAAATACCCTTTTTTAAATTAATAGTTCCTGATGATATCTGTGGTCCTGCACTCCTGGGAGGCAAAATAATATATAAGTATTCATAAACTTATATAATTCAAAGTGTTGTTTCAAAAATGAAGAAATAGGGTTTATTTGAAAATCAAACATAACCATGCCTTGGATTGATAGTTTTCACTGAATTATTTGTTCTTCTGATCAACATAATTATTAACTGATCAAAATAATAAGCTAACATTTTTTTTTAATTTTCAAGTCAAATGATGCTTATTTACCCAGCTGTTGTCATCATCTTTATGTTTTCTGTTTTTGTGGTGTTGATACCTGATCATCTCTGTTGAATATATTGTATATCGGGATAATTTTGTGTCAGGTTTTGTTTGCGGTTTGGGAATGAGAAGAAACAATTTAAAATTTAACGTTTTTATAGCTTGCATTGCATGGTCTTGCCCAATGCTTTAAGTTGGACAATAAAATGTTTGTGTAGGGTAAATTTCACTGACAAATGCCTACCACAAATATGGCAGAAATTAAACACAATCATATTTCCTGATATTTTGTCTTGATTTTCTAAATTCCTTGGAGGTTTTCCTAATTATTAAGTTCCATATGGTGACCTTTTGATGTCCTTTTTAGTAAACTTTAGTAATACCTCTAGAACTATGTTTGTTTTGGTTTTCTGGCTGGTTGTCTTTTGTTTCACTGATCTTTACCTTCATTCCTTTTTTCTGATATTTTGATGAAAATTTCATTTTTAAATAAAAATGTTTGGGTTATCTTAGAATTAAACCATAAATTAATGAATATTCACTTGAAATCTGGATGAGAGCACAGTACACTTGTTAGAACAATCACTTCATATTCACATGATGATGTTTCTTTCAGTTCATATATTTCTCCTCGTCCCTCTGGCTGACATACATACAAGATTTTTGCTTTTCGTGGTTGATTTGTTAATTCACATACTGTCCCATCTGTCATATTTATTTCAAAGTAAGGTAAGTCTATTAGGTCAATTCTTCTGGTTTTAACCTGAAACAGAAAGAGTAGCATTCTAATTTACAAGTTTCTGGATAATTAACTAAACAAAATTAAACCACTGAATTTAATTGACAGTACCCGGTAGTGTAAATCTTAATTGTCAAAATACTGCCAAATACTTTATGAAGATACTATGGATTCATTTATTTTCGTGGAAAACAATTATTTTTATGATTTAAGAGAAACTGTATTGTGTGGATACTTTATTTCATGGTTTTGTCAAACTCTGCATACAAGCTGATTGGAAATTTGAATCGTTGACTACTTCAACTCATGGTTCATTTACACTTTGCAATTCAAGCAAATTGTCACCCAAAAAATAATATTGAATCAGCAGTATATTGTTTTAGTGGCTTTAAATTTTATCTGAAACAGGTGATATCATTTTGATTAAGGTGTTTCAAAATTTCTCATATTAAGGTGTTTCAAAATTTCTCATGGTTTGGCAGATGCATACTCAATTATTGAACAGAATAAGGGATGTTCCATAAAAACATAAACGGCATTCATGGAAGGGAATTAACCACTATCGGTGGTTGTGAAATATGATTTTGAACACGTTTAAAATATTTGCAGGTTTCTAAAATTGTTTCTATTGGTTGTTACCCACATTTCAAAGTGCCTTATCTGGGTACTATGTATAAATAAGAAGATGTGGTATGATTACCAGTCAGACAACTCTCCATCCAAGTCACAATGTATAAAAAGTAAATAATTATACCATGTTTTTTTAATGGAACAGCACTAAGGTTAAATATGAAAAATATTTAAAGCCCAATTGCTTAGTCCAGACAAATCTTTAAGCACATAAAAAAAATGTCAATTCAGAAAATACAATGTGCATTTATTATTAAGTTTGTTGAGCTGCAGACAAAAATGTGAGGCTTATTAATACAATGACAAGAAGTACTATATATATATATGTAGTGCTAACACTAGGTTTATAAAAATGTGAGTTCTTATCAGTACGCTTCATGTAGTGATTTTCCACATTTACAGTATTGAAAATATACTAAATGCTGATGTAGACTTTACAAGGGACCTACAATCTGAATACATTTCTGATATCATTAGCCATATGACTTATTGCTATTAAGTAAATTTGCATAATACTACTCTGGCAGCATCAATTGGATTGTAACCAGATATTTTTCATAAGTTTCATAATAACCTTAAGTTTTTTATCCTCTGCTCTGGATTCTGATTCTGATGTGTCTTTGTCAGTCATCAACACGTCTGCAATATGCAATTATTCTTTTCGAATTGAGTAAATGAGTAATCTCAATGTTTTACAACTTTTATTTCAAGTAGAAACAGTTCTGTTTAAAAAATAACTTTAATGTTTTCCAAAGAAAATTATCCTATCTTGACTGAAACAATACACATTGTTTCATCAAATTACTAAAAGGACTTTTTTCCAATTTATTCAATATTTTACACTAAATATTTGCAATAAATTTTAAATAGTTTTTAATTATGACATTAGAACTTTGCATAAGAAATGTTTTTCTTAAAATTTTCTAATTACTGCAAAATGTCTGTGAATAGGTTATCTGAAACATAAACAATAAAATTTAATTTCCTTACTTAATCCAAATTAAACTGATGTATATATTTGTAATATTATGTTATCTAGACCTTACCTTTTTTGTCATCTACAGGTTGATAATAACCCAGGTAATATTATGTTATCTAGACCTTACCTTTTTTGTCATCTACAGGTTGATAATAACCCAGGTAATATTCCAATACCTGTGGCTTTTTCTGAAAAAATGAAATACCACTCTGTTTAAAATTGATCAAATATCCCTAATTTTTAGTATTTTCTACTCACACCAGTGTTCTCCATTTTTCACTTAAGTAAGGTGGGTGTTGTGAAAAAATTACTTGCAACCGGGTGTTTTTTTTTTGTTTTAACATTTCCAACCTGGTTTTTTCAAATGAGGGGTAACCTCTCAATATAATGACTATCTCTTTTATGAGGGGTACATTTAACAAGATAAAAATGAGCACATATTTATTTTATTTACAGAAAATTTTCCCAAAGAACTATACATCTATTTGGTATTATATGGTCAAAACATGTCCAAAAATTTTGTAATATTCCTGGACTTATATCTTCTTTATCATTAAAAATAATGGGACCTTCTTTTAGAAAAGTTGGTCTGAATATAACGATTTTTTCCCCTTTAAGTTAAAAAATCTAAGTTTTTCTCTTTTCTTTTCTTCAACAGAATTAACATAACCTCTTGCCAGAGAGACAGTCCCTCGTTTAAGGGATATCACTCATTTGGGGGATAGACGTATTTACACTTGTATGCAAATTTGTCCGCCATTATGTAAAATCATACAGATTCCCGTAAACTTTTCCCAACCTGTTTATCTTCGCGATTGCTTCTGTGCCTTTTCCGTTGTTTTGATACTTTTTATTCCATTTCAACAATTTCAATACAACTATCTGTTTTAGTTGACTTATTTGGAAAAAAAAATCCGGAATTTGAAAAAAAGCCGACCACATCCTAAAATGGAAAGGTGGTCGGCACACCCGGCTTAAATGCCGAATGGAAAACACTGCACACATATATATATATTTGGCAAAAGAGAGATACAAATTTCAAATATATTATCATGCAACATACATGTACACTAATCTTAGTTCTTACCATAACCTACACATACATTACATGTTATATTAATACTTGTTACACTTCCATAATATTTCTGAATGGAAATTATTTTTAGACAACCATTTGTTTATAGAAAGATGAGAAATGCATTGATACAACAAGACTGACAGACAGAATTCCATAAATTATTTGATGTTTAAAGATAGCAAAGCATAACAATGATAAAACTAACATTTGACCAAAATACTTGCTCTTTTGGAATAAGTATTAAGGGAAATGAAACATTTATTCTTACTGATCATCTGTTGAAAAGAATAACATGCCATTAAATTCTTTTAAATTGAATATATTCCAACAGAACAATTTCAAAGAAATGAAGATATAGGCGATACCACATGAAATAGCATACAAACAACACAGAAAACAAACAAAACATCTAGAGATCAACAAGAATCTCCAACACTAAGCAGGTGTCCAGGGTAAACAATATTTCAAGATCTAAACCTCCAAAAGTCTAAAAAAAAAAAAAGGCTGTTGACACAGAGATATGTGTATGTAATTTTGATAGTAAGATGCAAATGTTAAAATTAAAATAGCAATACTTTAACATGTAAAATATTCAGTCAATGAACGATAACAGAAGGTACAGAGCCAAATATTTTCCATGGAAATAAAAAGTATCAATACTAACACAACTGCATATCAAATATTGTTTCATCATAATTGGTTCCCCTTAAACAGTCCAAATCACAAACTTAAAAAAAAATTAATCTAAGCAATTATTTTAAAGTCAATAGACCTTGAATGAGGGAATGGGATTTTTACTGTTTCACTAATTCTTAAAATCTAATACCACTTACTAAACTTAATTCCTTATTTTCATGGTACTGTCTAAGATGTTTTCCATGGCACAATTCATAGGTCCAGTAACTCTCAATCTGAAAATAGAATGTAAGAAATTTATCCTTTTAATCCTAATGTAAAAATAAAACATGACTTAATCAAGCAACTTGAGAATTTATTTTAATATTAATCATTGCCACAATTTTGGAAAGCAAATTGTGTACACTTTCTATGAGCAAGATGACCGACAGTGCAAGACCCTTATGGGTAGTCAAGGTCGTTAAAAAAAAACTCGTTGTGAGCAAGATAATCAAAAAGGTACTAAAGAGTAACCATAAACTTGCAGTGAGAAAACTAGAGTATATGGCATAAAATTTAACAAATTTTTTTTGGTTGTTTTTATGATTTTGTTGCTATTTAATTGATGTATACTAAATAACATGTATATCAACTACTTCAGGAAATTCGGTTACATAAAAGGATTAACAGTATAATATTGAAGCTATTTCATAAGTTTGAATGCACCTCATTTTTAATGGAAGTTTTCTCCTATTATCAGTCAAGGGCGTTACTTAAACAAGTAATCTTTTTTAGTTACTTATATAGGTAATTTTTGTTTTTAAAAATTATAAAATTACTCAATAGAGTTATTTTAAATTTCATTAGAAGCATGGACTAAATGTAGTTTTCATGAATTTTTACATCATTTTATATTATAAAATGAAGAATTTATTAGATTTGAGAGGAGTATAGAGATAAAGGGTTACTTTAAAAATAATGACAAAAATATTACTTGAATAAGTTATTTCATACATCTTTGAAAGAATTAGTAATAACACTTATTTAAGAAACATTTGTAATTGTTTTGGGTTACAAATTATAAATAACTTCAAGTCTTAATTAATTCACAAGTTTGTATCTATTTAAATCTGTCTACCTTCAAGATTTTCAAGGAAAATGATATTTTAATAGTCCCAAGAGACCAATCTTTGACCCAAAAGCGTCTATATGAAAGATAAGTGCCTCCAAAAGGCAATTAGTGTTTCAGAAGGATTAGATTTTATATATCATGGGAAAAATAACCAGATGACTGTGAAAATTTGTTAAAGCTAGTAAAATCTGTATAATTGGACACCCATAAGAATAATATTTAGAAAAGTTACTTATATAAGTAATATTTAAAATAGCATCGTTTTCAACATTACTTGTATAGGTAATTTTAAAAGTTACTTGTTTAAGTAATGCCCCTGACTGATTATCTAACAGTAAATTCTGTCTTATTACATACCCTGTAGGAGCAGCTACTCTGCTGGAACATTGTCTGAATTAGTTCAAATCCTGATAAACCTCCATACACCTTCTTGGACTGAATATAAAAAAAAAACATGATATCAATTCACAGATACAAGTATTTACAACAAAATATGAAAGACCATGATAAAAATAAAGTTCGCATATGAGAAATGATCACTAATAGCTACAACACTCATTGAAAAAAATTGCAAAGAACCCTGTAATCAAAGCAAATAAAAACATTAGACCCATTGGTGGCCTTGGGCTGTTTTATGCTCTTTGGTCGGGTTTTTGCCTCTTTGACACATTCCCCATTTCCATTTTTCCATTCTCAATTTTATTAGGTGTCACTTTTTAACAGAGAACATTATGTACATGATTTAATCATTTATTAATATACAACATATAAATAATATAAATTGTACCTCATCATCTTTCCCTGTTAACTCTGGAATGATACACATGTATTTTTCATGATTAACTGTCATCATTTCTACAACACCTTTATCTTTCTGAAAAAAAATAAAATGCTTACCCGTATCTTATTTTCAATTTCAAATTACAATGTTCATATCAACTGTTATTAAAGCATCTAATTTATATATTTCAACTTTTAATAGACTATTTTCATATTACTGACTTTTGACTCCGGATTATATAATTTTTCGGCAGGTTACTTTTTCTGTGGTTAGTAATAGACATCCTGGTAGTCGGTCAAGTAAGAGCAACCAAAAGAAGAAAAATCAAACGCATAATCCGTGCAATTTGAGAAGAAAGTTTTCTGTTTTCTGATGATTTTATCGTGTTAAGAAAATATAAAGCAGTTAATTTTCCCCATAAATTGTGTCGATTAAAAACTTGATTTTACTTTTTTACGTTGCTCTTACTTGACCGAGTACCAGGATGTCTTACCACAGAGTAGGTTACCTGTCTAAAAAATATAAACTCCGGAGTCAAAAGTCGGTAATATGAAAAAGGTCTTTTGCAATTAGTAGTTTGTCAAATTTAATAGCAATGTCTGGTTATCAAAAGTTAAATAATCTAATTGTTTTAATTTATTCAACTCAATATGATCACTTCATTCATCAAAAGGGAGAAGAAATCAGAGAAATTGAAGACATAGGGTCTAGATAGTTATACAGGTAAGGTTTGTGTGCACATTAAACTGGTCCTACACACCCCACCAGTATGTGTCTGTACCAAGTCAGGCTATCTGGACCATGTGTTTTCCATTGTTATTTGTCTTTATTTCTGCATCTTTTTTTTAAGGAGTCAAGTGCTGGTTGTTGGTGGGGTCTGTTGCATATCAAAAATAAATCTTTTATTGCTAAAAAAAATCAGTTGTTGCAAACCAGTTAAACAAAAAGGGCCTTCAGACTTTTATTGCTGTCTTCAAATCATCAATCAGGACCTGGTAGGAGGTCAATGACCTTTCTAGATTTTTCAAAGACAGGAACAGCTGGATTGATAGGCTGCAGACATGTGACAGAGTTGTCAAGTTACAACTAGAGATTTGAAAATTTTCAGCTGGAGTTTGGGCCTCATAACTGATTTCTATCGACATTTTCAGAGATCATTTCGATAAGAAAACTACATATTTCCCATTTTTTAGATAGTTTTACAATGTAATATCTTAACAAGATAAATAAAGAACTCAATTTTCCCTTTGACATGTAAAAAATTGCTTTGAACTTCTTATGACTGAAGAACAAAATTATATTTCAAGCATCTATTTAATAGTATTCATAAATCAGTTAATTCAATAAGTAAACATAACAATCAAAAAATTTGTGTGTACTGGATAGATTTCACTATCTTGTCACTTTACTATTTGATATTCATTGGGTAAATATGTGTTCTTTTTTGTCTTTATTTATGTTTTCCTCAATTCTTTTAAAGTCTTTTCACATAGTAAAGTATGGTTTGAGTCTATTTAAGTATCAATCTAGCCACACCTTGTATGGTCACTTAATGTCATAAAAATCATTATAATTTTATGTTAATACAGTATATAACTTGTACTTTTCTCAATTTTATTATAAATTTTCAATCTATGCATTGTAAAGAAGTATAATAGATCTTTCAAATAATTTCAACATATTTTCTTCTTATTTGTCCTAAGAAAATTAAAATTATTTACTTACCATTCTTATATAATTCTCCCTTTAATTTGTATTTCATTTATATTTTTTACCAATTTACATTATTTTAAGGAGTGTAACTGGAAAAACATGATAAAACAAGGGAAGTACTAAAAATTTCAATCAAGCACACGTTTCAAATACACAGATCATTTATTACATAACAATAGTTAGAATGAGGCAGAAGACATTAATTAATAGTACATGTATGATTGTCACCCAATATGTCAAGTGGAGCCACATAATTAACCAAGATCTTTAATTTTACAGGTAAAATTTACCTTCATTAGTGACACAAAATCGATGTTTGATACAGAAAATGGAGAATGATGGTTTTTTAGGATTTCAAATTAAAAAAAAAAAACAGAAGATTTAAATTATAAGAGCTGTGGGAGGGACAGATGGGGGCTTAAAAATTTGGAGACTTTGACCCTAGCTTGAAGAATCACATGTCTGAGGAGGATACACAAGGGACCAGTTTGTAAAAGTTATCATGGTTAACCTTCAGTTCAATGTCCAAGTTGGCATACCTTTATTCATCAGGATGAAACTACTTTTCAATAGTGGGGACAGCTGGTAGGCCTAATATCATCAGGATAAAACTATATTTCATAAATGGGGGGATTTGGTAGGTCCTTATTCAACAGGATTTAACTCTTTTTTTATGCGTGGGGCAAGTTTGCAGGCTGAAATTCAGCAGGATTTAAACCCGTTTCAGAAGTTGGGCAAAGGGTTAACATGATAGGATTGAGTTGGTAGAAAGTTGGGGCGGGTTGGTCAGTGCAATTTGGCAATGGGGCGATTTGTCAAAGATTCCTTGCCCGTGTCCTTTGGAACAAAAAGATGATGTGGTGACTGCCACATGCCAGAGAGCTGCCTTTATCAAAGGAAGGTTATTCCCCCTCAAACAGGTTGGGACCAAACCCCCTATATCATGTATATGGTGATAATACCTGTATAGAGTGATTACCCTTCTATAGAGAGATAAAATGATCCCTCTATAGAAAGATATATTTGTTTAGACTGGATTTAAAGCAGAACATGACAAATGCACATTTTCTACTTATTATGGCAGTAACCTGCAACATTGGATGCACCAATTGATGTACTTAATCTAATTTGTACATGCCTAGTTTACTGCTAAACTGACCAACTAGAAAATGCACTTTTGCATCTTCCTGCTTTAAATCCTGTCAAATATATCCCTCTATAGACAGAAAACTTTATCCCTCTAAAGAAGGTTAATCACTTTATGCAGGTATTATTGTCGAGCCTTCGACTTTTGTCGAAAAAGCGAGACATAGCGATCCTACATTCCGTCGGCGTCGGCGTCGTCGTCGTCGTCGTCGGCGGCGTCCACAAATATTCACTCTGTGGTTAAAGTTTTTGAAATTTTAATAACTTTCTTAAACTATCCTGGATTTCTACCAAAGTGGGACAGAAGCTTGTTTATGATCATAAGATAATATTCAAAAGTAAATTTTGTAAAAAAAAAAATCCATTTTTTCCGTATTTTACTTATAAATGGACTTAGTTTTTCTGCCAGGAAACATTACATTCACTCTGTGGTTAAAGTTTTTTAAATTCTAATAACTTTCTTAAACTATCCTGGATTTCTACCAAACTTGGAAAGAAGCTTGTTTATGATCATAAGATAGTATCCAGAAGTAAATTTTGTAAAAAAAAAATTCCATTTTTTCCGTATTTTACTTATAAATGGACTTAGTTTTTCTGCCATTTAACATTACATTCACTCTGTGGTTAAAGTTTTTGAAATTTTAATAACTTTCTTAAACTATTCTGGATTTGTACCAAACTTGGAAAGAAGCTTGTTTATGATCATAAGATAGTATCCAGAAGTAAATTTTGTAAAAAAAAAAAATCCATTTTTTCCGTATTTTTACTTATAAATGGACTTAGTTTTTCTGCCAGTTAACATTACATTCACTCTGTGGTTAAAGTTTTTAAAATTTTAACAACTTTCTTAAACCATCCTGGATTTGTACCAAACTTGGACAGAAGCTTGTTTATGAATAAAAGCTAGTATCTAGAAGGAAATTTTGTTAAAATTTTGTTCCATTTTTACCGTATTTTACTTATAAATGGACTTCCAGTTAACATTACATACAGTCTGCAGTTAAAGTTTTTAAAACATTTATTAGATTCATAAACTATCCTGGATTTTTACCAAACTTGGACAGAAGCTACTTACAATCAAAAGATAGTATAGAGAGGAATATTTTTATTAATTTTTTTCCTCATTTTTGTTGAGCCTGCGATTAACAGCAAAAGTAGGCGAGACACTGGGTTCCGCGGAACCCTTACGAATTTTTACAATAGGTATCAGGTCTGTTTGCTCCCAATACACATTCGCACCCTACACTTTCGCCCCCTGAGTTCGTTCGCACCCTATTCTTATTTAGATACTGGTTGTTTTTTTTAGATGTATTTATCAAAATACAAAATGTATTAAAACTTTTATGAATAAAAATTTGTGATTTTTTAAATATTTTATTTGGTGATTTGATAATTAATTATTCAATGTTAAATAAATATGATTACTTTTAATTTGTATTTACAAAGCCACATTTGGTATTATTGTTCTGTGTTTTAAAATCATGATTGTTGTTATAACTAGATGTTAATACTGCACATAGTTAGCTTGGTATGAGTAAACTCAATGAAGAATTGGTATCTTCCGCCTTTTTTTTACAGTCTCAGATGAACAAACTTTGCTAATTGATCATCACTGGGACACCATATATTGTATAATAGTGCAAGATCATCATGACAATTTTTTAATCATGATTCATCTCGTCAAAATAATTGATAAAACACTAAAGGAAATCTGTTTACGTTTTTATAATGTCACTTTATTTTGAAACAATCAAAAAAACTTATTTATAGGAATACACTAACTTTATTTCACACAAAACCCAATAAAAAGATTGGAACAGACCCAGGGAGCGCACTTGAAAGGGGGCGAACGTGAATGGGAGCTAACATGATTTTGGGAGAACAGACCCAGATTCATCACCAGATAGGGGATATATAATAACAAATATCATAAAAGGGCACAGGTGCAAGATTTCCCCCAATATTTGCTCATTTGATAATCAACAAGGATTAACAGCAATGAAACGTAGAAAATAAAATATGTACAGCATCAAATAAAAATGATAATTACTGGTGTTTTCTGGACATGGACTACCCTAATATTGAAAGCTTTTAAACACTAAAATGTTCATTAAAAGTGGTGTTAAGTAGTAACACATAAACCATACCATTTCTTCTGAACTGAAAGTTGACTTATCAACCCATTCAATTTTATGCAATTCATTATCCATGAATGGATTGAAGCCAGAGCTTCCAATCACAACTAAAGTGATGATCCATATATAATTGAAGGACTTTTTTATGGTTAAAATATTCATTTTTCATCTAATGTTAAGAAATACGATGCAGCATATAATGAAGCTGACGTGTAGAAAATTTGTGTACTGAGCGCGGCCATATGTTAGCCCCGCATTTGTTTTTGTAATTTATCGTGTCTGTTATTGGATAAAAATTTCGTATCTGAAAAAATATTTATCAGATTTTAGTTCTTAAAATATTTTGATGATTGAAATATTTAATAAATTGTATTTGTAAATCATCAATGTATAAAGATTCTTATAAGAAAGGACTTATTATTTTACACGTTACATTAATTTACCGCATTCCGGTCACTTGGTAAACATGGAGGAAGTGAAGCATTCGCAATTTTTGATAATTGTATGTTTTGTCATTGTCTGCAGCTGTGTCATGGTGGCAGCCTTACCAGAGCAAGGTGTTCTCACAGTCAACATGAATAACCAAGTATACAACTCTAATGAACTTTTAAAACTGCACTGTCATTAGAATGTGTTATTTAAAATATTTTGCAATACCCCGACGTCTTATAAAAATGTGTCCATATATTTATCATAATCCGGGACCATATTATTACTTTACACTGCAAGAATGACCCTATGAAAATTTCCCTTTGGAGACAAAATTGCTTCAGATTAACAGTAATATTGCCAACTTTCAGGATACAGGTGTGAACTACACGATTTTGACATCTTCAATGATCTTGATTACAAATGTAGATTGCAGGTTTGCAATCGGGGAAAAGCTCCAAAATCATAATATTGTGAAAATCTTAATGAAAAAAATTGTTGGTTGCCTTTTTTGAGCCTTTTCACAAGGGAGACAATTGTCATAAGCCAATCAAAATCATTATTTAGTGTGATTACGTTCATTAGGCATTGTAAACATACCAAAATGGTTCTCATTTTCATGGTTCATTGTTCAATATCTAGTTTTATCATGGTTTGGTATGTTTCTTGTATACTAAAATTAAAAGGTCAACTTTGGTGCATGGAATGATTGCAAGTTGAAGATGTACATATCAGTCTGGCTTGGTTTATCTGACTTTAACCTCATTTTCATGGAACATTGATAATGATATGTTGATGTGATCATGGTGATACTTGTAGTAAAACTTAATTTGTTAGGACTATCAACATAAAATCAATTAAGATAAGTACAATGTAAAGCAGGCAAGACATTTTAGCGTGTACACTGTTCTATTCATATGTTCATATATTTATATGTGCCAAAGTTATGCAAATGAAATTGTAATCGCTGAACTTAGTTTTTTTTTAAATTCCTAAGACATATTTATTAAATTGTCATACAGGCTCACATCGGGGAAAAAAACAGACAACCAAAGAAAACTGTACGTTTTATGATTGAGTAAAGCCTTCCAATTGATATTTTATAGTGTTTTTTTCTATGTTGTGATGTTATACTATTGTTTCAGAAAAGGGAGAAGGTTTGGTACCATTAAAACGTTTAATCCTGCTGCATATATTTGCACCTGTCCTAAGTCAGGAATCTGATTACAGTAGTTGTCTTCTGTTAATGTGGTTCAGGTGTGTTTCTCGTTTCTCGTTTTTATATTGATTAGACCGTTGGTTCTTCTGTTTGAATGGTTTTACACTAGTTATTTTTTGGGCCCTTTATAGCTTGCTGTTCGGTGTGAGCCAATGCTCCGTGTTGAAGGCCGTACCTTGACCTATAATGGTTTACTTTTATAAATTGTAGCTTGGATGGAGAGTTGTCTCATTGGCACTCATACCACATCTTCCTATATCTATGTATGACTAGATAAACATTTATTCTTCACACAATTCTGCATTTTTCAACACAGTTTGTTAAAATCAAACCATAAATGCCTTTCAAATTATTTATTGAAAAATGTAGTTTTGTATAAAATATATAGCAAAAAATTGTGAGCGAAAACTACCTTTGCCATGCACTGTACACTGACCTACACGAAAAGTATAAATATAGGGAGTCATATACATTGTGTACATTAAAAAAAGTAGGAACAAATTGTTTAGTCCCAGTAATAATGAACAAAATCAGTAGGAACAATTTTACCATTGACTTAAGCTTGGGACGAATTGGTTTGGAACAAACCAGACTTAGAACAAATTGACTAGCATTAAAAAAAAATCCCTAGTTCCAAAAACAGGCTCAAATCATGTTTTATTATCCCATGAAGTTTGAAGTCAATACATGCACTTAAAGTCAATTACACTGTAGACAAACTCACAAATTCAGAAATCAGTACTGTAAATCAAAATTGACGGCAGCAACTCTTCAACTACACAACTGTTGTTCTGATTCTAATCGATTTAAAAAAGAAAATTATACGTTACACTTAGGGCTTAAAAAAATGTATAAACTTGAAATGAAATAAATTTCTGCAAAACTTCATGAATGATTTTGGTGTAAGACATCATGTCTAAATGTGACGTCATTCAAATGAGAACTTACAAACTTCTACGATTCAAATTTGGATAAAATCAGATCAAAGGGAGTTTTTTAGGTAGGTGATGTTTTATATCCCATAATTTTGTGGTAATAGAACATTTGTCATGTTTGTTGATTCAAGCAATTCAAAATGACAGTCTCTCCTTAGTTAACACATGTCAACTGTGGATTTGATGTTAACTTTTAGCCAATGAAAAATATTGCTACATAAAAATTGCATTAGAATGTCTGATTATTTATTACAGAAAAAGTTGGAACTACTTTGCAGTAACTTGTTTTTTGAAGGGGTTTCTTTTTTTGGTATAAATTAGGGTAGTTTTGTAATGGGATGCTGTGATTTTCCATGTTACTTATAATTGTTTAGTTCATATAAAAATAGGGAGATGTGGAATGATTGCCAATGCAATGAGACTCAACCATAGACCATAGGATGAAGATGTTAACTATACTATGTAGGTCACTCTGTGGCCTTCAACATTGAGCAAAACCTTTAAAAGGTAAAGCAGTATATTCTGCATTTGAAAAAAGAAAACCAACAACTTTATTTATTCTAAACACTTTTTTGTTCACTTAAGGAACGATTTGACAACGCAACACACCATCTCTAGCTGATTTTATGAACTTTCTCCCTCACCCTTGATTTTCATTCTGTGTTGAACCCTGCTTAAACATTCAGTGTCAGAAATGTTTTCAGATGAAACAAATGGTCTTGATAAGGACTATGGAAATAGATTTGAAGCTTTGAAATGTGATCATCAAGATGACACAGAAGCTCCATAAAAGATCAAATGCACAAGTAAAAAGAATCGTTACATTCTTTATGGCCATATTTAATATCTTCTAAAAGGGGACAGCACATAGCCAAGTGCACATCTTCAGTTGCAGTAGTTGCGCAATTAAAAGAATTGCTGTCGGCTTTGTGGTATTAAAATATTGTTTCCTCAGTGAGCTGCAGATGTGACAATACTTTAACAGATTTCTCAATTTTTGTGTCAATATGAAAGATTGATGTAATAACTGTATGAAAAAATTGTTTCTGTATCTGCAAAACATCACGTAAATATTGATAAGTGGCTTTAGATTATTTTTAAAACGTGGGGGTGGGGGGTGGGGGAGGGAGAATGCCCCCATACCCACCAAGCAGGTTTGATATGCTTCATGTCACTCACCAGTACAATACTGACATATACCACAAAATACTGACAAAAGACTCTTGACTACTGATGGTTTATAAAATGGGTAAACAGCTCTGGTGTCTGAATATGTTTTGTTCTTCCTCAGCAAAGAAAAAAAAGATATTGATTTAAAAGTGAAAACTAAACACGAAAAAATAATCTGATAAACTTGACTTTTTTCCTGTGATCATTCTATACTTACAGCTGATACTTGTATGTAGGGATACAGGTATGTTATCATTAAGGATGCATTGTTATATGAGTATTTATCTTGTGTTCCTGTGATCATTCTATACTAACAGCTGATACATTGTATGTAGGGATATGTGATCATTAAGGATGCATTGTTATATGAGTATTTATCATGTGTTCCTTAGCTGATACATGTATGTAGGGATATGTTATCATTAAGGATGCATTGTTATATGAGTATTTATCTTGTGTTCCTGTGATCATTCTATACATGTACTAACAGCTGATACATTGTATGTAGGGATATGTGATCATTAAGGATGCATTGTTATATGAGTATTTATCATGTGTTCCTTAGCTGATACATGTATGTAGGGATATGTGATCATTAAGGATGCATTGTTATATGAGTATTTATCATGTGTTCCTTAGCTGATACATGTATGTAGGGATATGTTATCATTAAGGATGCATTGTTATATGAGTATTTATCTTGTGTTCCTGTGATCATTCTATACTTACAGCTGATACATGTATGTAGGGATATGTGATAATTAAGGGTGCATTGTTATAATAGTATTTATCATGTTTATGTTGTACAATTGTGTAGGTGGGGTGCAGCCATAAAACTATATATGGCTATTCAGCATAGATGACTTCAGTTTTACATGTAATTTTCTTTTTATTTCAGAATAATATCACATCTTTATCCAAGATTATGTACAATAACACAAAGATATATGTTAAAGGTGGGTTGTTTATTGTATAGAAAACATTTTTTAAATAACAATTCCTTTTCAAATCCAGCTCTAAAACAGCATAATCACATCTTATTCTTTATGTAAGAAGTTCAATACATGTCTTGTACTAAGCTTGGACATCAGTCTACAAGTAATCAGTTTATGTTCAGATTGTTGATTTGAAACAATTTTCATGCTCCCATTCATCTTTTATTTCAAACTTTCATTGATCTTTACTTTTCAGCCATCAACATAAATTGCAATAATATTTGTTTTATATTTCTGTCAGTACTCTGTTGTCCTCTGTAAGTATATTTGATAGCAAGGGTGCAAAACTAAGATCAATAAGTCAAAAAAGTATAATGATTTCAAGTATAATTATACATTCTACCATTATTCTCCTGTATTTTGCCAGTTTTAAACCATATCAAACTGGAACCAATGGTATGATATGGTTGACAGTAAAACTCCCTGTAACACCATAAAAAATATTTTTTAGACTGTACTTATATTTACCATCTTTTTCAGTATACTTTATTAGTTCATCATGTTTTTTCTATTATTCATTTATAATATGGTATATTATAGGACCCATAATAGGATGAAAAGGAAACAATATTGCAGTGAATCAAAAATGGGTATCATTGTGATAATAAGCAATGGTTATCTTTATGACATAAAATTTATTTAAAAAAATTGATGTTTTCAATGGCTTCCTATTTTTTTTAAAGTTACACCAAACCCTGATAAAATGAATCCTGGAGCAGAATTAACCATAAAATGGATGCTACGATATTCTAGGTGTATGGAGGAATACATGATGATCAATCAACCAGTGAGTACTGCAAGAGACGTGATGTTATTGCATACATGTACATGTCATTTCATAAATATATATATATATATATAAAGTATGATAAAATATCAAGTAACTCTCTAAAGGTTGGGACTAAAAATGTTAAAAAAAGTTACATGGAAAAGGTTACCATTAGCATAAAGTACAATGTTAATAGTTAATTAGTATATTTTTTTTTGCCCTGGTCATGGTGCTATAGCAGTTGTAATGTGCACTTTATGTACATTTGTAAGTATACATTACCATACCTGCCAACTTACACAATTTAGACATGAATTCTTTATCCAAATGCATATTCCTGGTCTGTAAATTAAAATAGCCAGAAAACATTGATTTTTTTGTAAAAATCTGCTGGTCCATTATTTTAAAATTTTGCAAAGGGAGATAATCCAGGACAGTGATAGTTAGTCAATCATACATATTTTCTTGTGCTGATCAATGGTGGCATTGTAAACTGTTGGGCTAGCAATTTTCAGTTTTTTTTCTTCGCTTATGTGTTACCATTATAAAAATAAAAGGTTGATTGATCTGATGATATGGAAAGGGTCAAGTCAGTTATTTCTTTCCAAAAAAAAACATTCATGAAATATTTGCCACTCGACGTTAAGCAACCAACAATCAATCAATCAAAAAAATAATATTGCTGGTAGTTTATAATTTTATCTGCACGATTAAAAAACTACTATAATCATCTGACAGCAAAAAAATTGAAAGACTTCAATTTTCCCATTTATACATGAATGTTTTTTTTTCTCTAAATAAGGTTAAATCTCCACTTTTCTTTCTTATGGTTTACTGATGATGATGCAAATATGTATATAACTGGAACCTGATTCTCAGAAGAAGTGATATTTTTCAGTTATAGAAAAAATACTGTACTAAATTCTCCTCTATAATTTTGTTTTGCATCATCTTCAGTACATTCAAAATAAAAGAGGAGACTAGACCCTAATTCTACAGGTAAAAACATGCATGTATAAATGCTATGAAGATAGGAAATTCTTAAAAATGTTGTCTCAGTGATATTTGAAAAGATAAGAGGTATATACGCACCACTAACAAAAACACGGTCACCACTGTATAAAAAGCATTTTCAAAAAGAGGATAGAGGATACACAACTTGATGACTGTTATTTGAATCTAGGCATAACAAATCACAAATGAAAGAATTTTAATCAAAATTTAACTGGAAAATGCATGGTTGTACTGCAATGGGAAATTATCTTCTTACCATACTGAACATTCTTAGAGAAATCACTATTAAAGCACATTATTGGAATCCTAAGTGTGGAGTATGTCTTCCACATTTTAATTGATGATATATATCAAGAAAGCAGTTTTCCATGTTTTTGATGAAAAACATATGCATACATGATATGGTCTGTTTTTTTACTGACAGAATATGTCTTTTATGGAAGTTAAGTAATTTAATTATGTATTTGTAATGGATAATTATCTATTTATTACTTCTACTTATTTACAGAATCAGATGTACAGTTTTCTATCACATCCTGATATTCAATATCTGAATGGAATGCCTTACAACTGGACAGAATATAAAACAAATTCAATAACAGTCAAAGACCACTGGGATCTTGGTGTATGTATTTTGTAATTACTGTCTTGCGTCAAATAGAAATTAGTGTGTTTTAGGTTTCATGACTGACTCCAAATTTGAGCTTCAGATTCATTTCACCTTCGAATGGCCAAGTGAGCTTTTGTCATCACTTGTCTTCTGTCGTCCATCATTGTCTTTGTAGTCATTAACTTTTACAAAAATCTTCTCTGAAACTAATGATCCACCATTAGGGTATCTTGTTTAAAAAATGTTTGATGACCCTGCCTGCCATCCAGGATGGCTGACATGGCTAAAATAGAACATTGGGGTAAAATGCAAGTTTTGTCTATTATCGTGAAAACCACTATGAGTAGAGAAAATCTGACAAGGCAGAAATGTTTGGAATGATCAGATCTACCTATTGTCCATTTACTTCTAAACTGTCAGACCACTTTTTGTAGGAGTTATTGTCCTTAAATGACAAATTTTACCATTTAGTTAAATTTTCGCCTATTATCTTGTAAATTATAATAGATAAGGAGAAACTTCAAATAGCAAAAATGATCATCAAGACAAGATCTACAAATAAGTCAAACATGGTTGAAATCTTCTGACGTCCCTTTATTGGAGTTATTGCCCTTCAATGAGGATTTTTACTATTTTTTTGCAATTTTGTCTTATATCTGAAAATCTGTAATAGATAGATAGAAACTTAAATAGGCAAAAATGATCAGCAAGACAAGATCTTCAAATAGTTGAAAACATCTTACGACCCCTTATTGGAGATTTTCTTTTTAATAATTTTTGCCCCCCTCGAAACACCGTCTGGTCTTGTTGGCTCTCTCAGGTGTACGGTTCTTGCAAAATTTTTATGAAGCTTATATCATAGGTTTATATTAGCAATGTTGTGGACGAGTTCCAAAATCAGTGCCGATCAATTATTTTTCAAAGAGTTATGCCCCTTGGAAACATTAATTTATATGGAAAATTGCATCGTTATCGCTCTCATGTGTACAATTCTTGCCAGAATTTTATGAAACTTATATATATCATAAGTTTATTTAAGCAATGTCTTTGATGATTTCGAAAATCAGTGCCGATCAATTATTTTGAAAAAGAGTTATGCACCTTGGAAAAATTAATTATATGGAAAATTGCCTTATGAGCGCTCTTATGTGTACAATTCTTGCCAGATTATTATGAAATTTATATTAGGTTTGTATCAGTTATGTTTTTGATGAGTTCGAAAATCAGTGTCGATCAATTATTTTTAAAAGATTTATGCCCCTTGGAAATATTGATTTATATGAAAAATTGCATTGTTAGCACTCTCATGTGTACAATTCTTGCCAGATTTTTATGAAGTTTATATTGTAGGTTTATATCATCAATTTCTCAGACAAATTTGAAAATTGTTGCTGTTCATCAATTTTTAAAGGAGTTATGTCCCTTGGAAACATTGATTTTTACGGAAAATTGCATTGTTAGCGCTTTCATGTGTACAGTTCTTGCCAGAATTTTATGAAACTTACATCATAGGTTTATACCTTTGACACTTTCTAAAATAGGTGCTGATCAAATATTTTTAACGAGTTTTGCCCCTTGGAAAAATTAATTATAACAGAAATCGCATTGCATTTGCTCTGAAGCCTTTATTTCTCTAAGATATTTATAAATTGTTTTAAAGAACCCAAAAAAAGTACTTTTTATACAACCCAAAAATTTGCGGTCGTATATTGGTATGACGTTGGCGTCGTCGTCCGAAGACACATTGGTTTTCGCACTCTAACTTTAGTTGAAGTGAATAGATCTCTATGAAATTTTACCATAAGGTTCAATACCACCAAAGGAAGGTTAGGATTGATTTTGGATGTTATGGTACCAACAGTTAAGGGATTAGGGGCCAAAAAGGGGCCAAAAATAAGCATTTTTGTAACTTCCAGACACAACTTGTGTGTTAGTGTATGGATCTCTCTGACATGGTACCACAAGGTTCCATATCACAAAGGGAATGGTGGGATTGATTTTGGGGGTAATTGCCTCAAAATTTTAGGAATTAGTGGCCAAAAAAGGGGCAAAAAACAAGCATTTTTCTAGTTTCATGACAATAACTTGTGTGTAAGTGAATGGATCTTTCTGAAATTGTACCACAAGGTTCCATATCACAATGGGAAAGCTGGGTTTGAGTTTGGGGGTAATTGCCCTAAACGTTTAGGAATTTCGGGCCAAAAAACAAGCATGTTTATAGTTTCCAGACAATAACTTGTGTTCAAGTGTATGTATCTCTCTGAAATTGTAATGCAAGGTACCATACCACAAAGGGAAGGCTGGGATTGAGTTTGGCAGTGATGAATCATAAGGGGGTTCAAAAAATTTGGGGGGGGGGGGGATTTTTTTTCCTTTTTTTTTTTTTTTAATTTTCCATTTTAAATTGGTTATTTCTGATTTATATATAAAAGCAAATAATAATGATATGGTTTGAATAGGTAAAAAATTTTATACGACCGCAAAAAAATTTTGTGGTCGTATATTGGTATGATGTCGTCGTCGTCGTCTCCCGAAGACACATTGGTTTTCGCACTCTAACTTTAGTTTAAGTGAATGGATCTCTATGAAATTTTACCATAAGGTTCAATACCACAAAAGGATGGTTGGGATTGATTTTGGGGTTTATGGTACCAATTGTTAAGCAAAAAGGGGCCTAAAATAAGCATTTTTGTAACTTCCGGACATAACTTGTGTGTTAGTGTATGGATCTCTCTGACATTGTACCACAAGGTTCCATATCACAAAGGGAATGCTGGGATTGATTTTGGGGGTAATTGCCTCAAAATTTTAGGAATTAGTGGCCAAAAAGGGGGAAAAAAAACAAGCATTTTTCTAGTTTCATGACAATAACTTGTGTGTAAGTGAATGGATCTTTCTGAAATTGTACCACAAGGTTCCATATCACAATGGGAAAGCTGGGTTTGAGTTTGGGGGTAATTGCCCTAAACGTTTAGGAATTTCGGGCCAAAAAACAAGCATGTTTATAGTTTCCAGACAATAACTTGTGTTCAAGTGTATGTATCTCTCTGAAATTGTAATGCAAGGTACCATACCACAAAGGGAAGGCTGGGATTGAGTTTGGCAGTGATGAATCATAAGGGGGTTCAAAAAATTTGGGGGGGGGGGGGATTTTTTTTCCTTTTTTTTTTTTTTTAATTTTCCATTTTAAATTGGTTATTTCTGATTTATATATAAAAGCAAATAATAATGATATGGTTTGAATAGGTAAAAAATTTTATACGACCGCAAAAAAATTTTGTGGTCGTATATTGGTATGATGTCGTCGTCTCCCGAAGACACATTGGTTTTCGCACTCTAACTTTAGTTTAAGTGAATGGATCTCTATGAAATTTTACCATAAGGTTCAATACCACAAAAGGATGGTTGGGATTGATTTTGGGGTTTATGGTACCAATTGTTAAGCAAAAAGGGGCCTAAAATAAGCATTTTTGTAACTTCCGGACATAACTTGTGTGTTAGTGTATGGATCTCTCTGACATTGTACCACAAGGTTCCATATCACAAAGGGAATGCTGGGATTGATTTTGGGGGTAATTGCCTCAAAATTTTAGGAATTAGTGGCCAAAAAGGGGGAAAAAAAACAAGCATTTTTCTAGTTTCAGGACAATAACTTGTGTGTAAGTGTATGGATCTTTCTGAAATTGTACTACAAGGTTCCATATCACAATGGGAAAGCTGGAATTGAGGTTGGGGGTAATTGCCCAAAACGTTTAGGAATAAGGGGCCAAAAATAAGCATTTTTCTAGTTTCCAGACAATAACTTGTGTTCAATGTATGGATCTCTCTGAAATTGTACTGCAAGGTACCATACCACAAAAGGAAGCCTGGGATTGATTTTTGGGGTAATTGCCTCAAAATTTTAGGAATTAGGGGCCAAAAAGGGGCAAAAAACAAGCATTTTCTAGTTTCAGGACAATAACATGTGTGTAAGTGTATGGATCTTTATGAAATTGTACTACAAGGTTCCATATCACAAAGGGAAAGCTGGGTTTGAGTTTTGGGGTAATTGCCCTAAATGTTTAGGAATTTGGGGCCAAAAATGGGCCTAAAAACAAGCATTTTTTCTAGTTACCAGACAATAACTTGTGTTCAAGTGTATGGATATCTCTGAAATTGTACTGCAAGGTACCATACCACAAACGGAAGGCTGGGATTGATTTTGGGGTGATGAATCATAAGGGGGTTTAAAAAAAATTGGGGGGGGGGGGGGGGGGGATTTTTTTTTCTTTAAAATTTTCCATTTTAAATTGGTTATTTCTGATTTATATATAAAAGCAAATAATAATGATATGGTTTGAATAGGTAAATTAAAATTTTTTAAGTTCTTCGACCACACTCATTCTGTGTCAGAAACCTATGCTGTGTCAAATATTTAATCACAATCCAAATTCAGTGCTGTATCAAGCTTGAATGTTGTGTCCATACTTGCCCCAACTGTTCAGGGTTCGACCTCTGCGGTCGTATCAAGCTGCGCCCAGCGGAGCATTTTATTTTTCTTTAAAATTTTCCATTTTAAATTGGTTATTTCTGATTTATATATAAAAGCAAATAATAATGATATGGTTTGAATAGGTAAATTAAAAAATTTTGAAGTTCTTAGACCACATTCATTCTGTGTCAGAAACCTATGCTGTGTCAAATATTAAATCACAATCCAAATTCAGTGCTGTATCAAGCTTGAATGTTGTGTCCATACTTGCCCCAACTATTCAGGGTTCGACCTCTGCGGATGTATTAAGCTGCGCCCAGCGGAGCATTGTTTTTAGTTATAGCCCTTGGATAGATGAAATATGGGAACATTGGAACTCATTTCTTTTATTATCATTGTTTGAGTTTTTGCCTACTATCTGAAAAACTGTAGATACTGTGGATTCACTTTTATTCGTGGTACACCAATTTTTGTGGGTTTCGTGGGTCACAGCGAACCACGAATTAAAGAATTCAACAAAGAATAATCCTGAGAAATGTGTATG